ATAGGTAATTTGGTCATCAAACCCCATCTGGAGGTCTATTTTGGGGGGTGTTTTAAGCAAGGGATGTGCAGTTGTGGATCAAGTCGGAGTGGGAGGGAGGGAGACTAGGCCAAATGTCTGCAGGAAAAGCCGCAAATAGAAGAGCAATTCTATCATCTATCATCTATCTATCTATCTATCTATCTATCTATCTATCTATTCATCCATCCATTATCCCCTCTCATCTATTTTATCTAGCTATTGTAGCTATCTATCATCTCGCTATTTATCTATCATCTATTCTCTCTATTATCTGTCATTTATTTTCTATCTATCTATCCATCCACCCACCCATCCGTCCATCCATTATCCTCTCATCTATCATCTATTTTACCTATTCTATCATCAATCATCTCACTATTTATCTATCATCTATTCTATTATCTGTCATTTATTATCTATTTATCTATCATCTATCTACCGTATCCATCCATCCATCCATCCATTATCCTCTCATCTATTTTATCTATCTATTCTATCATCTCGCTATTTATCTATCATCTATTCTCTTTCTATTATCTGTCATTTATTATCTATTTATCATCTATCTACTGTATCTATCCATCCATCCATCCATTATCCTCTCCCTCATCTAACTATCCATTCATCCATCCATTATCCTCTCTCATCTATCTCTCATCTATTTTATCTATTCTATCATCTTGCTATTTATCTATCAACAATTCTCTCTATTATGTCATTTATTCTCTCTCTCTCTCTCCCTCCCTCCCTCCCTCCCTCTCTCCTGGTATCTATCTATCTATCTATCTATCTATCTATCTATCTATCTATCTATCTATCTATCTATCTATCTATCATCTTTATATCACGTATATATATTACTATCTATCATCTTTATATCATGTATTTATCTCTCTCTCTCTCTCTCTCTCTCTATCTATCTATCTTAGATATAAAGATATATAATGTAGATATATAGTCCTCAATTTACAATAGTTCATTAAGTGACTGTTTAAAGTTACATCACTGAAAAAAGTGCCTTATGACCTTTTTTCACACTTACGACTGTTACAGCATCCCCATGGCACGTGGTCAAAATTAAGATGCTTGGCAACTGACCCATACTTATGACGGTCGCAGTGTTTCTGGGGTCAGGTGAACCTTTTTTGCGACCTTCTGAGAAGCAAAGTTAATGGGGAAGCCAGATTCACTTAACAATGGTGTTACTAACTTAACAACTGCAGTGATTCATTTAACGGCTGCAACGGGAAAGGTTGTAAAATGGGCAAAACTCACTTAACAACTATCTCACTTAGAAACAGAAATTTGGGGCTCAATTGTGGTCATAAGCTGAGGATTACCTCTGTGTGTGTGTGTGTGTGTGTGTGTGTGTGTGTGTGTGTGTGTATATATTGTGTGTGTATATATATATTAAATTAACTTATATATTAATTATAAGTATCAGGATAATTAGAAATATAAGTTAAATTAAATTATGTCATCCTAAATATGAAGATAATTATAAATGTTAAATTGTAATGCAGTTATCAATATGAATATAATTATAAACGTGAGATAAATGAAATTATGTTAGTTATAAGCATCAATATTATAAATTTAAATTAAATGAAACTGTAATGTACTTAGAAATATCAACATAATTATAAGTATCAGCTAAATTAAACTGCAATTCAATTATAAATATCAGTACCATTACAAAAATTCTAATGGCATTCAAAATATAAATATAATTAGAAATTTAATAATTATAATTTACTTAAAATATAATTATCAAATAGAAAATTAATTTATAATTTAATTATAAATGCAAATTAAATTGAATGATATAATTATAGATGTCTAAACAAAAGAAGTAAAATAAAATAAATCTAAAAATAAATGGCTAGCTGTGGAGTTTTCCCTGTGCCAAAATGGGTGAGAGTTGTCAGTTTTAAGGTTTTGCAACACTTCAAAAAAAAAAAAAGAACAGCTAAAGTTTGTTGGAAGTTTATAGAATCAGATCCCGGAGCCCTTGTTTTAATGCAAAACTCTTGATTTATCCCAAGTTTTACCTCCTTATCCGCATTACTTCCAGTGCTTTGCTTTCCATGTTTTCGTCCTGCCAAAACTAGAGAGAAGGAACAGCTGTGAGATGATTCAATGGCGTCCTTTTAATTTTGGGGTGCAGCGAGTCCCACTGTTTGGAATTACAGGTCGTCCTCAACTTACAACCATTCATTTATCCCGTTTACCTGAAAATACGACCTACCCTGAAAGTAAGTCCTAGCTTGATAAGCCCTAATTAAGATCCCACCCACTCCAGGGTGGACGGGTAAAAATTAAGCTGGGAGGGGATTGAGGGGGGGGAGAATGGAGCTACCCTACTATTTACCTTTGGACAGTTGTAGCCTGGCCTCGCACCCCCTGATACCTGCCTTGCCAGCCCATTTCTTCTGCAGCCGGCAAGGCTTTTCTGAAGGCCTCTGTAGCTGATAACAGCTATCGGCTGTTATTGGCTGCAGAGGCCTTCAGGAATGCCTTGCCGGCTGCAGAAGAAGTTACTGAAGGCCTCTGATAACAGCGAAAAGGAGGGCGGGGGTGACAGATGCAAGTGAGGTTAGTCAGTTGATGACATCCCCCCAAAATAAGACCTGGTACCTTTTTTGTGGCAACAATAATACTGTATAAGACAGGGTCTTATTTTGGGGGAAATAGGAGTAGTGACTGTTCAAAGTTTTGCAGCTGACTCATATTTATGACGATCGGCATGTCCCAGGGTCACATGATCCCTTTACACAACCATCTGACAAGCAAATGGGGGAAAACAGAGTCACTGAACAACTGATTAAGTGACTTCACTAATTTAACAACTGCGGGAAAGGTCGCAAAATGGAGCAAACCGTGGCAGGAGAGCTCGTAACGTGGAGCGAAATTGATTAAACAAGTGTTTCGCTTAGGGACAAAAACATTGGGACTCAGTTGTGGTTGTAAATTGAGGCTCACCTGTCCAAGCAAGCGATGGTGAGGCTAGAGAACAACCCGCCAGTTGTCAAATTAACACAATTTTTTAAAAGCTTGGTTCTGATTTTTTTTTTCTCTCCTGTGTTGGGCTGTTGCCATTCTCGACTCCCAAAAGCCGCGTTTCCCAACCTCACCCGTTTTTAAGATTGGCTGGACTTCAACTCCCAGAATTCCGCAGCCAGAGGCTTGAGGAATTCTGGGAGTTGAAGTCCACCCATTTCAAAGTAGTCAAAGATGGGGTGGCGGGTGGGGAACACCCCACTGCTCTAAAATCTCTTTCCAGCCTTAAAAATACTCACAGACGCGCTAAATTTTGTGCGGATCAGACCAGGCGCCACACAGTTGACACGGATGTGAGGGGCCAGTTCGATGGCCAGGTTGCGTGTCAAGCCCAAGAGGGCTGTCTTGCTGACGTTGTAAGGCCCGATGTTCTAGGAGAGAAGAGGCGAAGGAAGCAGAATCAGGGGTACCTTTAAGAGGCAACCTTTTTTTAGACCTCCCCGATTCCCTCAGGCTGGTCTCAAAGTTAAACAGGCCCTGCTCCTTGCATCTCTCCTTGTAGGAGTTTTTCTTTTCTCTTCTCTCTCTCTCTCCATCTTTCTATTTCTCTGTCATCTATCTAGCTATCCATCTGTCTGTCATCTAGTCTATTGTATCTATCTATCATCTTAATTATCCAACCATGCGTCTATCAACTATTATATCTGTCTCTATCATCCATCCATCCATCTCCATCCATATCATCTATCCATTCCTTTGTTTATATCTGTCTGTCTGTCTATCTATCTGTGTTCATCTATCTATTGTAACTATCTTATCTATCTGTATCCATCCATATCAGGGGTGGGATGCTACCGGTTTGGCCCGGTTCTATAGAACTGGTAGCTCTGAGGAGCAGGAGACACCGAACCCACCCAGGTGTTTGGCCCACCCACCTGCCCGGGCTTTTGGCTGTCCTTTATTTCCTGCTTTTTCAACCTCAGCTGCTTTGCGCGGCATAGCTGAGATTGAAAAAGCAGGAAAGGAGTTTGAAATGCTGCGCAACTGCGTGCAGCGCTTGTCAGCTGTCCTGGCGGCACAGCCGATGTCTTTTTGCAAATGTTGTACACACGCGCGCAGCAAAATGCAACTCCCACCAAACTAGTAGTAACACCAGTTGAATCCCACCCGATCCATATCTAATTTATCCATCCGTCCATCTATATCCATCTATTTATCTATATATCAATCTACCTTATTTATCCATTATAGAAGCTATATCTATCTGTATCCATATATATCTATGTATCTATCTGCATCTATCTGCATCTATCTATCTATCTATCTATCTATCTATCTATCTATCCTGTTAACTATCTTATTTATACCCTTCATCCATCTCTCTCTATCTATTGTATCTTTCTATGTAATTATGTATATCAGTATCATATTTATATCTATCCATCCATATCTGTCTATCTGTATCTCTCTTTCTCTCCCTCTCTCTCTTATCATCCTCTTATCATTAAAAGTGCTCATTCGATTTATTTACCTTTCCTTATGTCTAACTTCTCTGAATCCTCCCACTTAAACTGGGAGGCCCAGGACAGAATAAAAGGGAATAATTTATTTCTCCTAATTTGGAAAACCAACTTCCTAGATGCTGCCAGCAATTGCGTTTGCCTTTTTCGCAGCTGTGTAATGCCGCTGGCTTTTATTCAGGTTCAAGGAGAAAGAAATCTCCTTTCCCACCCCCCACCTAATTCTTTTATTCCATCTTTACAGACAGCTTGAGAGAAGCAAAACAGATAGAAAATTATTTGCTTAACTCACTGGAAATGGCATATATCCAGCAACGGATGACACGATAACGATGGAGCCGTTTCTGGAACAAAGCAAGGAATTGAAAGAGGCAGAAATATACTGTGTATATATATATATATTCCTTTTCCTTCCCCTCTCGTACTCCTTTATTCCCCTGGAATCAGTCACTATTTCTCTCCCAACCTACTTCACAGAGTTGTTGTCAACCAAAATTAGGATTTATCTCCCTAATCTACCGAAAGAAGCATTTACAAATCGAAATGTGAAATGAAATAATGTTCTGTAGCAAGAAAATTACTTTTTTTTTTTTTTTTGAGGTTATAAGGGGTCTGGCCATGAAGACTGAGAATTTGTGGCGTTTCTCGTGAATGCAGCAGGCTGTGAGTGCAAATTCTACCTCCCTTGAAAAAAAAATGGAGCCGCCCTGTTTCACAAAGTCAGGAATTTATTCGAATCAAGTCTTCTTTTTCTTTATAGAAGGAGGAAGAGGAGGAGGCTTAAGACAGAGCAGATTTCAAAGGACGGGAGAAATTCACAATTAGGACTAGAAGCTTGAAATGCTTGTGAGGAGAAAAAAAAGAAAAAAAAAAGAAATACCCATAGTCAAAGCGGATCAGAAAATCGGCAAGAAGAAGAAAAAAGAAAGAGGAGGAAAAAATAATAATGTAATGGTTTTCAGCCCAAACATAACTTAGAATATAATATATAGACAAACTTATATACATCATACTGAGGGATCTTACCCCTGCTTTAAATTGAAAAACGGTACAGGTAGACTTCAACTTACGACCGCAATTGAGCCCCACATTTCCATTGCTAAGCAAGACCGTCGTTAAGTGAGTTAGGCCCCATTTTACAACCTTTCTTGTCTCCGTTGTTAAGTGACTCGACACTATTGTGACATAACCCAGTTGTTAAATGAATCTGGCTTTGCCACTGACTCGTGACACCGGGACTCTGCGACCCCATAATAAGTGTGAGTCAGTGGCCAAGTGGCCGAATTTTGATCATGTGACCCTGGGGATGCCGCAACCGTCATAAATGTGAAAAATAAGCCACTTTTTTTCAGTGACCTTGTGGTTTGGAACGGTCACTAAATGAACAGTCGTAAGTCGAGGACTGCCTGTATGTAAATTAAGAAGAAAAAACCCCAAAATATTAAGGTTGCCGTGACATACTCACCCCCTTTTCTGCATATGAGGAGCCACCAGGTTGATTAGCAATGCTGTTGCCTTTACGTTGATATCCAATATCTGAAACAAATAACAGGCGCACCTGGATTTATGACCATAACGCATCCTTACGGCCGTAATACGAGACACCCGCGCGATTTTGCTGACCTGATTTTAACCCCCAATTTTTCCATGGTAAAGCCATCACCACAGGCCGAAAACCATGTGCCCCCACCATAAAAAGCATACACGGACATCATAAAACAAGCACAGCCATCACAAAGTATGTCAAGTTTGGAGGAAAAGTGGCTGAAAAGACTGGAAACTCGCAATAAATCACTGTCCTGGGTTTGAGGGGGAAGGATCTGTCCTAATTTCAAACGGTCACTATGCGAACCACCATTAGGTGAGGACCAGCTATAAAGCGGGAAAGCAATATTTTCATCCCCAACTGTTTTTCCAAAACCATGTTTGGCCTTGCCACCAGATTGGTCGGGTCAATCTGGGCACGCTAAGCTTCCCCCACAGGGTGCACTCTTTGGACTACAAAGCCCATCTTTTTCTCCTCTGTCCCCTTCCGCAAGCTCTCACCTTGTCCCAGACTTCCTCCGAGGCGTCCAACATATTTCCGAAAAATGGGTTCACGGCCGCGTTGCAGACCAAAATATCAATTCCACCGTAGCGCTCCATGGCCTGTGGAAAAGAGCGGAGAATTAAACACCTGTTGTTTAAAAAGTTAACCCAGCTTGTAATGCAATTATTTCTCAATTTTGAGGACTTTAAGAAGCTTTGCTTGGCTGACTAGGGAATTCTGGGAGTTGAAGTCTACCCATCTTAAAAGTTTTTGTTTTTTTTAAAAAAACACCCTTCCAAATACAAATTCAATCTCCTTTTGTAACTGTTTAATAAAACAAATGCGATAGAAAGCTATATGCAACTCGGTCCAATTCGCTTCCTGGGACACAAAATACCTACAGGTGGTCCTCCACTTATGACAGTTCACTTAGTGACCATTCAAAGTTACAACAGTCGTTGATTAAAATTCGGCCACGTGATTAAAATTCAGACACTTGGCAACTGATTCATATTATGACGGTCACAGTGCCCTGGGGTTACTTTTATAACCTTCCAACAAGCAAACTCAAGGGGGAAAGCCAGATTCACTAACTTAAAAACTGCTGGGGTTCAGTTAACGACAGTAGCAAGAAAAGTCATAAAATGGGGTATAAAATTCACTTCAGAAATGTCTCGCTCAGCGACAGAAATTTTGGGCTACATTGTGGTCATACATTGCAGACAACCTGTATATACTCCAAGGAAAATGGTGAAACCAACCAGTCCCTTTTAAAAAGAAGCAAAATTCCCATTTTAGGATCTTAAAACCACCGAGGAAGAGTGAAGAAGTCCTGAAAATTCGATAAAATAAGTTTTTTTTCCCCTTTTGGAAAAGCAGGCAATGAGAAACAACTTTTTTTACCTCATCCTAGCCCAGTTGGGAATGCAAACTGGGAAAATAATACCCAATTCTCTGCCTCTGTGGCAGGTTGAGTCTTGTACCACGAAAACCACAATGTCAGAGAATTTCGATTGCAAGATACTCGCCTGAGGGAATATATCAATCTAGCCTCTGGTTTCTCCACCACATACACACAAATACAACACACACAGCACAAACGAAGGTGCAAAAGGATTCCCTTGGAAATCCTGACTTGTCGAAGAAATTCCATGGCTGACAGTGTGCCGAGTCCATTTTCACTCCCCTATTGTGAGAAGTGAAAATTATTCCCTTTAAAGAAAAAAGCAGAATTATCTATTTTTCTGCATATTTCTCTTCTATATAACCTAAGAAGACCCTGGTAAAATAGTCCATGTGAGGACAATTGTCACGCTGGCCCAGGTCAGGGCATAAACTGTCCTGATATTCCCAGAAAAGGACACCAGTTAGTGCAAATAATGTCAGGATGTAGTAACTGTTAAACAATGTTAAGTCAATGATTAAGCATATTACTATGGGGACAGACTGTGATCCCAAAAATCATCCTAGAATCAACCGATGCTAATTTGGACCAATGGGGCAGTGAGGAAGGTGGGAGTTTTGGGGATCTTGAAGTATATAAAACTCTGTAAATCAATTGTCTCATTGCCCTTTCTGCCTCTACCCAGAAGAGGACAAGGTGCCGGCCTTTGCAAATGTCAATAAAGCTCTTGAAATTGTTTACTGAGTTTTTTGTTGATTCAGCAGAGAATTTGTAATCTCACACCTAAAAAGTTGGAAACAGACTTAGTTCCTCTCTTCCAGGGGAGTTCTCAATTTACAACCATTCATTTAACGACCACTTGAAGGTAGTGGTGCGGTGGCCTAGAGGCAGAGCTCTCGCCTCACAATCAGGAGGCTGTGAGTTCAATCCTAGGTAGAGGCAGATATTTCTCTCTCTAGGTACAATGAGAATATATCTGCTGAACAAAAAACTCCCCACTGGTGACAGGAAGGGGATCCAGCCAGTATAAAACACCCTGCTAGCTTCATTTAGTTGCCCCGACACACCCTGCAAGGGATTATGGGATCATTGAAAGATGAGGATTTAGTGATCGTTCAGTTACAAAGGCACTGAAAAAAAGCGACTTATGAACATTTTTCACACTTAACAACCGTTGCAGTACCCTGGGATCCAAATTCCGCTGCTTGGCAACAGGTTTGTACTTATGATGGTTGCAGTGTCCTGGGGTCACGTGATCCCCACTTGCAACCTGCTGATGAGCCAAGTGGACGGGGAAGCCGGTTTCACTTAACAACCGTGTGACTGATTTAACAATGGAGACCCGCTTAACAATGGTGGGAAGAGAGGTAGCAGAACGGGGTGAAATTTACTGAACTTTCTCACTTAGGGACAGAGCTGTGGTCGTTAAGTCGAGGACTGCCTGTAGGGACGCAATGGGTCAAAATACACCACGGAGGAGGGGGTTCTTACCACATCCACTAGATGTTGTCTGTCTTCTGACTTTCCCACGTGGCACACCAACCCCGACACGCTGAGATTCTCGGCCTGCAATTCGGACACTGTCTGGTCCACTTTGGCTTGCTTCCGGCTACTCACTAGTACGTGTGCCCCATCTTGTGCCAGCCGGCGTGCGATGGCTAAGCCGATTCTGCCAAGACACAGACACGACACAGGTTGACCTCAACTTACAACCGTTCGTTTAGTGACCATTCGAAGTTATCACGGCACTGAAGAAAGCGACTTAGGACTGTTTTTCACACTTACAACCATCGCACCATCCTTGTGGTCACAGGTTCCAAATTTAGACGCTTGGCCACTAACTCCTATTTATGATGGTCGCAGCATCCCAGGAGTCATGTGATGACCGTTTGGCGACCTTCTGGCCAGTTAAGTCAATGGGGAAGCCCAGATTCGCTTAACATGTCCCTGATTTGAGAACTGCAATGATTCACTTAACAACAGTGGTAAGAAAAGTCATAAAATGGGGTAAAAATTGCTTCACCAACATCTCACTTAGCGTCAGGAATTTGGGGTGCAATTGTGGTCGTACGTCAAGGACTACCTGTAATAGGATGTATCCAGCAGAAGTCCTTTTCGTGCAATTCTTGGTGCCATTCTACAGATAAAACAGGCACGGATAGTCCTTGACGAATGACCATAATTGAGACTAAAATTTCCATCGCAAAGCAAGACAGTTGTGAAGTAAGTTTTGCCTCATTTTGCAATCTTTCTTGTCACTGTTGTTAAGTGAATCAGATAACCCCCTGCCCAAGCGGGAGACCCTACACCATTTCTGACAAATGGCCATCCAATCTCTTCTTGAAAGCCTCCAGGAATGAAGCTCCCACAACTTCCAAAGGCAACTTCTGTTCCATCGGTTGATGGTTCTCACTGTCAGAAAGTTTCTCCTTATTTCCAGGCTGAATCTCTCCTTGTTCTTTTAATTTTATCCATTCAATTCTTATTTAAGCTTCAACTTAGGCATCAGACTTTTGATCCTCTGACCACGGGGGATGTTGCAAAGGTCATAAGTGTGAAAAATAAGTGTTGTAACTTTGAACGGTCCCTAAATGAACCGTTGTAGGTCGAAGAGTATCTGTACAGTATACAGGGAGTCCTCACTTAACGATCACTGAAGTTATGACAGTTGTTAAGTGACTGTATCCGATATATCTATACCTTCATTTCAGTGACTCAGGTCTGAAATTAAATCCCTGAGAAGAGCTTTTTTCCAATCCAGATCAGCCGGATCGACAACTTCCACACCTGACTAGAGTCGAAAATTACAGCAGAGTGAAATAATGATGTGTTTTTAAGGGATTTCAAAATCGTAGCTCGAAGTAGGATTTATCTAAATATGTGGGTGGTTAGAAAGGAAGAAAGGAGCGGATCTGGTTTGAAGATTAGCTCTGGTTTTCAGAGCATGTAAACATCATATAAACAGAACACTTATTCAGTTTCATTAGGTCACAAAACAAGTCATTGCAAAAGCATACAGAAGTGGGAATTCATAAGCTGCAAGTAGCTGCATGCTTGATCTAGGAAGAAACTGGAAAGAAACTCGCTCCCTTGAGTTACTCGTAAAATAATAAAGGTGGGATACAAATAGGAAGGAAGGAAGGAAGGAAGGACAGACAATGGATGGAGGGAGGGAGGAAAGAAGGAAGAAAAAGAGAGAAGGAAAAGAGAAAGAAGGACAAAGGAGGGTGGGAGGGAGGAAAGAAGAAAAAGAGAGAGAAGAACGAAGTAAAAGAAAGAAAGAGAGAAGGAAGAACAATGGAGGGAGGGAGGAAAGAAGGAAGAAAAAGAGAGAAGGAAGGAAAAGAGAGAAAGAAGGAAGGACAATGGAGGAAGGGAGGGAGAAAAGAAGAAAAAGAAAGAGAGAGGGAAGGAAGGAAAAGAAAGAACAATGGAGGGAAGGAGGGAGGAAAAAGAAGGAAGGAAAAGATAGAAAGAGAAGGAAGGAAAGAAAAGAGAGAGAAGAAAGGAAAAAGAAAGAAAAAAAGAATTAATTAATCAATTAATTAATTAATTCTGGGAATTGAAGTCCATAGTTTCTTAAAGCTGCTGAGGTTGAAAATACTAAAATACCATGATAAGTAATAGAGTTAAGATTATAAACCCTGTATGTTTTCTCCAAAGCAAATCCGATCATACTGAATTTAGATTTTGCAGCCCCATTCAAGCAGAGAAGACTGCGCTTCTCGTCTATTAATTCTCAATTTTTGAACTTTTGCCTCTTCCAAAGTCTTGTTTGCAGGGCTCTGCAAAGGATGGCAAAATACTTATTTCAAAAGAGCAAAGTGGGTTGAAGACGCAAGCAGAACTTTGACTTACTTATAAAGTAATAAAGGTGGGATAAAAATCAGAAAAAGAGAGAAAAGAAAATAAGGGACAGTGAGTGAGTGAATAAGAGAGAGGATAAATAGATATAGATAGATATAGATTGTTGATATAGATAGATAACAGATAGATAAATAGATCGGGGGGGGGCGGAGGAAGAAAGGATTTGAGGCAAAATTGTTCAGCATTTTGAAATAAAATTATTTAGTAAGAAAATTTTTCTTTTATTGAATAATAGCACTACGTGGGTGGGAACTTGATAAGAGATCATAGCAAGAGAAATTTCTCCATGTGGTGACCCAAAAGTAAATGTAACTGAGGTGAATCAAGATTGGCTTCGAAAACGATCTGTTTATTTAGCCCAAGTCTGAGGGAACACAAAGCAAAATTATTCATATAAATCTAAAAACATGACAGATTTCATGATTCAGACTAAAATACTTGAGTTTGTGAAGGACGAGGAATTGTGGGAAAATGAATGTTAAAAGGGCCTACATTGTTTCTCAGTCTTGGCAACTTTAAGGTGAGAGGACTTCAACTCCCAGAATTCCACAGCTAATAATGGCTGGCTAGGAAATTCTGGGTGTTGAAGTCGACCCATCTTAAAAGTTGCCAAGATTGAGAAAGACTAAAATACTATGATAGGTAACAGAGCTAAGGTTATAATCTGTGGTTGCTTTCTCAGAAACAAATCCTGTCATACTGAATTTAGATTTTACAGCCCTGTTCAAGCAGAGAAGATTGCACGTCTCAGTTAAAACATCAGCTATTAATTCTCAATGTTTGAACTTTTGCTTATTTCCAAAGTCCTGTTTGGTCTCGGGGAGTCTGCAAAGGATGGCAAAATATTTATTTTGAAAGAGCAAAGTGGGTTGAAAATGCAAACAGAACCTTGACTCACTTATAAAGTAATAAAGGTGGGATAAAAATGAGAGAAAAGAGGAAAAAAACAAGAGACAGAGAGTGAGTGAGATAGATGGTTGGAAGGAAGGAAGGAAGGAAGGAAGGAAGGAAGGAAGGAAGGAAGGAAGGAAGGAAGGAAGG